GCAAGCATTCAGGATTACCTGCACTACCTGAGTCCTATTATTTGTGTTGATGGCAGTCACTTGAAAGGTCCATACAAAGGTATTATTCTACTGGCAACTGCCCAAGACGCCAACAAACAGATTTATCCGTTAGCGTGGGGGATTATTGATGCCGAAACGAATAGATCGTGGATGTGGTTTTTATCAAATTTGAAAGATCTTATAGGTGACTCGGACGAATTGGTGTTTGTTTCCGATAGGAAAAATAGTATTGAAAACGCCATTGCCCACCTATTTCCTCGGGCTCACCACGGGTACTGTGTCTGGCATATGAAAAAGAATTTAATCCAGTGGTACAACAACGCAAGTTCAATATTTCTATTCAAAAGAGCCGCAAGAACTTACCGGATCGAAGACTTTGAAAGACTTATGGGACAACTTCGTAGGGTAAGTGCAAGAGCGTACAGGTACTTTGTTGGCCAACGGTACAACATTTTGACCAACAACAATGTAGAATCTTTGAACTCAATGTTGAGACATGCCCCTTCGTTACCGATTACGTGCTTAGTGGAGCACATTCGGTATACTATGCAAAAGTGGTTTTATGAACTTCGAGCAAGTGCAACCGCTTGCAGTACCGTTCTGTCACCAACGATGGAGAATGAGTTACGGACGACGTTCGAAGCAAGTACTAGGCTGCAAGCGCATGGCTTAACAGATAACTTAACACAAGTTGGAATATCCAACGACACGGACATCGTAGACTTCTCCGAAAATACGTGCACTTTTCATGAGTTCCAACTGAATCGTATGTTGTGCGTTCACGCAACCCGTGCTGCTTGCTTGAGAGGTAAGTCATTGTATGATCTCTGCTCACCGTATTACACATTCGAGTACTGGGAGTGTGCCTATGGAGAAGCTATATATCCTGTTTTGCATGAAGTAGACTGGATTTTTCCAGCCGAAATTACAGGTACTCCAATATACCACCTAGTGTACGTCGTCCTCCAGGTAGACCACCCACATAACGTAAGCAATCTAGAAACGAGTATACCACACGGCTCAGGAAATGCACTCGCTGCGGTGGACTTGGTCATAACCAGACCACATGTTCGAATCACATTGTACCACGTCCGATGTAAGCAACATTTTGTACGTGAGTGGTTGAAGTTGTAAGTGAAGTGTTCCCCCCGATGTCGTTTGTATATGACAAAGTAAACATTGTATTACTGTTTTCATTCTCTTACGCATAAACATTACTCTTTCTTATGTTCACAATTACAGTACACAAATAAACACAACGTACTGCATAACAACCTCGAACCAAAATACAATTTTGTTGTGCATAACATTGTTGCCATTGTTGGCCCATGTAAATTGAATGTACGGAATACGAAACGTTCAACCATTATACATGTTTCCTTTCAAATGCATATTACGAACACATCATTTTTAGCGCATAACACTGTCCGCATTGTTTACAAAGTACGTTGAATATACACATGAGGTTGTGTTCGTTTACCCAAAGTACATGTTACATGAATATGCATACTACATACACAGAAAATTTTCCAGTAAACCCCGACAGTTCATCTGTCGTTCCCGACAGATGGTGTCTGTAATTCTCGACAGTTGTTCGACGCTTCGCTTAACAAAATACACATAACTTGCCAACGGGAGTTTCCTACATGCTACAGAATTGGTACATACGTAACAAAATCCATCCCTTACAAAAAAAGCACTATACATACATAGATAGAAACCCACACACGCAACAAAGCTAGACTCTTCACTCGGAGCTAACACTTGAACCTTCTTCCCCACCGTCATCATCCGAGCTGATGACAATTACCTCGGATGATGGAACGCAACCCTGCCCCTCAACCTCGTGACATTCAACTTCGTCTACATCCATAAATGGGACAGCCCATTCAAGCACATTTCTCGGAGACTCACATGCATCACTTGCAACTTCATCCAGGTTCGAAAAGGGAACGACAGTGATGGCTCTTCTACCACCATTCAAACTCACTTCCTCATCGTCCGAAGAAATTACGATGGGAGATAGCGGCGTTGAACTAGGCGTCGGCAAAGGCTCCTTAACTGGCAGGGGTGAATTACTTCCCGTGGACGATGCCATTGTTTTCATATGAAGAAGCAGACTTCAAATATTGTGATACGTTCCTGCTACAAGATGCCTCACAAAGAGGCTCATATATCCCACTTGAAAAGTGTAAGACATGATTTATTTAAGGACATTTAAAGCAATTTAACAACCAACCACCATTTCATTTCTTCTTAACACTTGATTGACCATTGGTGTGATGGTTTAGTGTGATGGTTAAGGGTGTAAGTGTATTTTAATGCAGTCCATAAATGATGAGAATTATGAGTAAATTGTACCCATGTGCAAGACCTGCAATGGCAACATTCCTGCAGCTGGATTGGCAATCAATTTGGAAGTTAAATTACTTTACTGAATTTTTTTAGTCCTTAGTCATAATTGAATACAGTTTTTAAATTCCAAATCATATGAATTGCATTAAAAATTGATAAAATTAATGTCCCTGTCAATGAAGATGAACATTGAGTGACACAACAAGCCATTTTTCAAATAAATTTTAATTTGTACAAACAAGCTAATTTATACTAAAACGCATGTTGAAATAAATATACATTGGTTGTAATGTTGGGGCCAACGTAGTAAAGATAACAACGAATTATTCATACTACGGTAATGCGAATTTTACAATAATCATTGTCCTCGATCCTTCAACCACGCTCCATTACACACAAAATCATTACACACCCTGATTCATTTGTACAGGTATAACACCTTCAACTCCAGTGAAATTAAAGTACAAAATACTACTATTTCACCAAGTAGCATGAACATCAATTTAATTAGAGTACAAACAAAAGTCCTATCTCAATGTCCGTTCCACTTAACCATAGCCCAATATGGAATTGAAGTAATCTCATAACCCTTCTTGAGATCATTAACCACATCATATGGAATAGGAGTAATAGTCTCCATAGTTGCACCTTCAGGCATGAACCCAGGTTTGGATCCCTTTGACTATTTTTTGGTGCTAATCACTACACCTATTGATTTAGCCTCAGCCTTCATTTTGTTTGTACTCTTCATCATTCTGCAAAAATTCATCATCACACCTTGATGAACGTACATGATCAACTCAAAAATCAGCCCTCCGAATGAATCTGCTACCTACATGCATCAGGTGCCTACTAAAGTGAAATGACACAGCAGAGAATATTCGTAACTATCCATCCAATCGGCGTAAAAATCAAAAAATTTACTCACCCATTGAGTAGGAAATATGCATACAATCTAATCACCAAAAAACGAACAACCCTTTCACATATCATAAACAATACATGCCATAAATATAATGGTGAAGCCAAGATACAAGATAAGGAAGGCATCACATCAAACCAACAGAGGCTCATTTTCGCTGGTAAACAACTTGACGATGGCCGTAGTTTGGCCGACAATAATATTCATAAGGAGTCCACACTCCACTTGGTGTTGAGGCTTGGTGGTAGCAGACAGATTATTGTCAAAACTCTTACTGAGAAGACAAATCATATAACTGGGATGTATAAGAATGATGATATATTCATTTTATTTCTGATGTTGATCTACCGTACAATCTCTAGCACCCAAAATTGAAATTCCAACTGTTCTGCACATGAAACGATAATGGTCAGATCGTAAATCAACACCAAATGAATATTTCAAAGAACAAGCGTACTTCAAAAGAGCATACAACCACATCAATTGGAACAAGTAATACAACAAACGTATAAGAACATATCATCTACCCAAACGTATAATAACAGATTATGTCGAATTGTGCATGCAATGTTGAACTCAAAAA